CGGCCGGGGCTCACGGGCAGTGCTGATGGCGTTCCTCGAGCCAGACGGCCGCTGTCTCCACGCACGGAGGATCGGGAGGCCGGGTCGCCTGCCACGCAGCAGGACACGGGCACCTCCAGACACCTGGGCCGCGCGGAGCCCGAGTCTCCTCAGGAAGGCGGCCGGTCCCGCGTGCAAGCATCAGGCTTGCTTGGCTTGATGTCCAAGGTGTGGCCTCACATCTGAACCGCAGCCCCAAACCCCTTGCGAACAGCAGAACCAGCTCAAAGGGGTTTCATCCCGTGTCTAACGAGACCCAGAACCAAAGCTCACGAGTCACCCCGTGAACCCACAGCCGCTCCCCACACAGAACCGCAGGGCGAGGCCGGAGCCAGAGCCTGAAGCCGCACTGTCCCCAGCAAGGGGGTGGGGGCGGGCGCTGTCCAGGAAGGCCCGGTGCTGAAAGCCCTCAAATCTCGCGGAACCGGCTGTGACAGGGTTGAGCCCCCGTCTCCTGTCTCCTTGCCCAATGACCTCCCAATAAAAACCTTTTACTTTTTTCAAAAGCCGGTACTGTCCTGGGGTCTTGTACACACCTCGGGCCCAGGCCCTTCCTTGCTTGGCAGTGACACCCCCATCCAGGCCCAGGCAGCGGCCGATGGGACTGAGAACTGGCCCAGGCCAGGCTGGGGCGCCGGCGGCCGCGGACGCAGCCAGCACACGCCCACCGCGCAGGACGACGGCCTTCGTTCCACTGAGCGAGCCCCGGGGAAGGCGCCCACGGCCCCACAAGCTTTGTGAGCGTCACGCGCACAAGCACAGGGTGACTCACGGGACTGTGACCCCACGTCTCGGACAAGGGCACTCGGGGCCTGGGGCCCGGGAGCGTCTGTGGAGCCATGCCACGCGCGTGTGCCCTGGAACAGCCTCGCCAACGAGGGCAGCCCCCACGCCCGAGGCCGGGAGCACCCACACCTGCGGGCGGGGCCTGCGCTGCCGCCCTCCGAGTCTCCGGGGAGACCGGCTGAGGATCTGACTTGGACAGGTTCCCAATAACACCAAGATTTTCTCCACTCCGATGGGCGGGGCCGTTTGTGAAGCGCTGCGCTTCCTGCCACCGTGTCACCTGCGGAAGTGGGAGGTCTGTGGGACTCGCCCGCAGTGCGGGCACACTCGTGCGTTAACCTACGCTGTTGCCGCGGGTTGACTTCACGTTAAATTCCTGCGAACAAGAAGTCCTCCAGAGGGCGGAGGCCCCCCATGCGCCGGGCAGCCCGAGAGCCCGGGCTTCCCTGGAGGCCACGGTCTGCCAGCGGCACCTTCGCCTTTTCGGGAGTTTCCATAAGATTCTCCAACTCTTTGATGGATAGGCGGTTCCTCCCGGGACAGACGTGAAGAGAGTTGAGGACACAGCCCCCCACAGCACTGGTCCCGGGGTTGCCCGCACTGGCCCCTCGAACGCGGCCAGACCGAGGGGGCCGGGGGCCGACAGGCAGGACCCCAGACTGAGAACCAAGGCCCGCCTTCCGCCCACTCAGGGCCGGCAGGCGGGAGGGGCAAGGAGGTGACCCCACTGGGTCACCCAAGGCCCCACAGGGACTACACCCCGGCTCGGCCGGACACGCTAAGGGACGGGGCCCATGACGCAGGAGGACACCTGCCCAGCAGCCCGGCCTCAGGGGCTCCAGAGGCACATGCGGCCGCCGGCCGCGAGAGAGGGCTCAGGGCCCAGCCCGGGGGAGGCCCCCGCTGCCGGTCGGCACGTGCTCTTGCGCTGAGTCCTGGCCGCTCGGTGGCCCCCGGGTGCCCGGGAGGCCAGGCGGCCGGCACCCCCAGCACCCCTCTCGGAGGCAGGGCACCCTTCCAACTTGAGTCGGGCGACCTGGCACCCGCTCAGCCTTTGCCGGCCTCAGTTTACCCACAAGCGAAGGGGCCCCCAGGGACCCGCACACAGCAGGCGCATGGCGAGTGTGGCCCACGGGGCTCCTGTCACAGGGGGCGGGCCTCTCGAGGGGCCCCGCCCCCGACACCGTGGCCCCGTCCTGAGCAGATGCCCCTCCCACCCCTGCACGGTGGTTTGGGGCCTTTCCTGTGGCTCACGCCCCCGTGGAGGAAGCCCCACAAACACCAGACCCTGCACCGGAAAATCCTCGGCACAGAGATGCCCCCCGCAGGCACAGACCCGCCGCACCGCCACCCGCTCTGCCGGGGCAGGGTGGGCGTGGATGGAGGCAGCGGGTTCAGGGCTGCCTGCGGCCCAGAGGCGCCCCTTCCCGCCCCCCAGCCTGGGAAGCACCTGATGCGCCCAGACCTGGCTGGCCTGTCATTCAGAGCTGGGCCCGCTCCCCACCCGGCATGAGCCGGGGAAGGACCCTCCAGGGGCCTCAGGGCTGGGGGGGGGCGTTCCCAGCAGTTTCCAAAGGGCCGGCCCACACCTTGGGGTCTTGGACCCCTCCTGACACCTGCACCCAGCAGGCTCCAGCCTCCAGAAGAGCTTCTGCAAGGTGGGGGGTGCAGGGGGTGGCGGCCAGGGCCCTGTGCCCAGGGGGCGTCTGCAGAGAAACCCTTCCGCAGGGGTCGGCAGGAGGGGGCCCCAGGGGCCCAGGGGGACCCCTCCACCTTCCAGAAACCGGGCTGTGGGGACAAAGGGCAGAGAGAGGTGGCCCAGGAGGGCTCGGCGCTGTCCCAGGCCCCAGGACCGGCCCGCGGCCAGGCCTGCCAGCCCGGGGCTCCCCACCCCGCACCCTGGCTTCCCAGGCCCACAAGGCGCCAGGCCCAGAAGAGGAGCCTGAATGTCACTCAGTTAACGAACCCACAAGCCAGAGCAGGGGTCGGCGCGTCAGCCAGAGCTGGGCCAAGCGGGGGCGCAGGGCAGCCACGCCCTGGGGGCGGAGGCCTCCGGAGGAGGCTGGCACAGTGTCGGTGGAGGGTCCACGCCCGGGGACTGTGGCGGATGTGCCGGGCGGGACAGACATATGACCGTGGGCAGAGCCCACATGGTGCCACCCTGAGGGGCTCCCCCGCAGGCCCTGCCGCGCCCACTTCACTGACGGGAACACCGAGGCTGCAGCGCATCCCTCACTGGACTCAAGGGCCTCGCCCAGCAGCGGCGACCGACCCTCCTGCCTGGCCCTGGGCCGCCCTCCCTGAGTTGAGCCTCCTCACCGGTGAGCTGGGAGCCAGGGGGCTCAGGGAAGCCCATGCCCCGGCCAAGGGCTCGAGGAGCGGCCCCAGCCAGCGGCAGGGCAGAGCTGCCTCGGCAGTGAGGGCCGGTGCCCCCGAAGCCACCGCACGCAGGCGGTGGTCCGCCTGTCCTGGCGCAGGGTCCCCAGAAAAACAGACGACCTAGACCCCCCTGCCCCACACCAACACAGAGCCGGACCCAGGTTCCCCCCACGCCTGCCTCTGGTGTGAACACTGCAGCTCGCAAGGGGCAGCTGGCACCACGGGCCGGTCACTTCAGGCCCTAGCAACGAAGGGCCACACGGGACCAGGGACGGGGCCACGCAGAGGGGACCTCCGTGCCCAGCCGCCGGGCTGCGGGGTGGGCTGCTGTGCAGCGGAGGTCCCTGCGGGCCAGGACCTGCATGGCCGGAGCCAGTCCCACTGGGAGCCCCCCAGCCCCGGCCGGGAGGGGAGGGGTGCCGTGGGAGGGTCACTGGGGAGGGGACACAGGGCTCCTCCAGGGGTAGGCGGCACCTCTGAGCTCACCCGCCTGGGAGAGGCTGAGCCGGAGGCGCCGCAGGGGCCCGCGGGGGCTGACACTCACCGGGCCGGGGAGCCCCTGCCCTTGGGACTCCGGGTTGGCCACCGCGGCCCCGGGGACGGGGGCCGTGCTTAGGGTGTCCCCAGGGACGCGGCACCCCCAGGACTCCCCGTCCGCGGGCCGCCTGGCCTTTCCCTCTGAGGGCCGTCGTGCCCACCCACAGAGGGTCCGTCCGGGGCACACGCGGGTCCTCGGGCAGGTCGCGGGCACACTCACGGGGACACACCCCCTCGCCCCAGGGGGGCACGAGGTCAGGTGGGGACCGCTTCCCAGCATCCACCCCTCGCTCCCGTCCCAAAATGCCTTCACACAACAAAATGGCCGAGCTGGCCCGGCCGGGCGGGATGGGAGAGGGCGCCTGCGGCTCAGGGGCCGGGCGCGGCGACCCCACGGCCGCACACGCTGACTTGCACCGGCGTCACCCCCCGAAGGCCCGGTGGGCACCACGCCGGCCGGGGCGGGCCCTGCCCCGGGAGCCGGAGCTCCCTGAACGCCAGGCGGGGGGACTCGCAGCCTCTCTGGGAGCCGGGCGGGCAGGCCCAGGCAGCGGCGCCCCTCCCCCTGGGTGCCCACTCTGCCCAGGAGGGTCCGCAGCCCGAACGAGGAGGGGGCAGCAGCAGCTGCAGAGGGGGGCCAGGGCTGCGTGGGGGCGGGGGAGGGGAGTGAGGGGTGCGCCGGAGGGCAGGGGAGGGGCGGGGCAGCGCGGCGGGACCGGAGTCACCTGCCCTGCGCTTGGGGCTGTGGGCGGGGGGCAAGGCGAGCACCCTTCCGCGTTCCAGGAAGGCGGACGCCCGCCCCAGATGAAGTGAGCGGCTTCGGGGGCTGGAAAGGGTAAGCCAGCCCTTCCCCCACCCTAGACTTCTTTGGGGGGTTCCAGTCCAGGGGGACCCCCAGGAGTCCAGATGCAGCGGCAGGACGGCAGCGCCGCCCTCCCTCCCCGCTGGCCCTTTGTTCCGCGCCGTGGCCGCGAGGAGGGGCCCCCCCGGGCGGGGGGCGGCCAGGGCTCCACACACCCCGTCCTATGCTGCGGGGGAGGGGCTGATGCAACCGGGCCAGGCCGCGGGGCGGCGGGGGGGGGCAGGGGACGGGCGCCCCCACCCGACCTGAACCCCGCACCCCAAACTCCTTCCGGCCTGAGCCCTCCAATCTGCGCCCTTCGCTCTGCCCCGGCGCCGCGGCATGCGGGATCAGGCTCCGAGCGCGGGGGGCGCGGGGGGCGCGGGGGGCGCGGGGGGCGCGGGGCGCGGGCACTCACACGTAGGCGTGGTAGATGAAGGCCCAGCCGCGCGGCCGCTCCAGCACGTTGTAGAGGAAATTCTGCAGCTTGCGGTAGAAGGCGTTGCGCTTCGGGGGCTTCCCGGCACCCGCGCCGCCCGCGCGCGGCTTGCTGAGGATGCTGCCGCGCTTGGGGGCCTCGGAGCCGGCGATGAGCAGCGCGCCGTCCCGGGTGGAGTCGGGCGCGCCGGGGTCCAGCCCCACGAAGCCCACCTTGAGCTTCTTCTCCCCGCTCGGGCCGGGGTACACGCCGCCGTTGCGCGACTTCTGCACCATGGTGCCGGCGGCGCGGGCGCGGGCGCGGGCTCAGCGGGGGCGGCGCGGAGGGGGCGGCGCGGGCCCGAGCCCAGGCCCTCGGCCCGAGAGCCGCATGGCCGAGGCGGTAGCGGCGGCTCCGCGCTCCTGCCGTCCCGGGTCTCGCGCAGGGACGCGGCGGCCACCTCGCCCCGCCCGCCGCCTCGCCCCGCCCCCCGTTAACCCCTGCGACGCCGCGCCGGCCGTGCGCGAGCCGGGAGGGGCGGGAAGCGAGCGGGGCTGGGCCGGCGGAGCCAGGCTTCGCTGTCACCGGGCGGACGGACTCCTTCCCGCTGCCCGACCGCCTGCGCCCTGACGAGGGAACCGGCCCCTAGGTCGCCTCTGCGGTGGGCAGGACCTGGCCAGCGCACGCCCGAGCGGCCAGACTGGCCACTTCCCGCGGGGCGGGGAGGAAGCAGCCCTTCCAGGCTCGGGCTTGGCGGGCCCAGCCCCTGTGGAGCTTCTGCGCTGGGACTGTGGGGGAGGGGGGCGGGGGACCCTGCCGGAGCTGCACCCCATGCTGCCCCTTGGGTGCAGGGAGGCGTCTGGGAGGAATCCCTAAGAGGTGGCCTGACCTGGGCCCAGAGGAGGGGTCCCAGAAGAAGAGGCAGGGGGAGCCCCGGCCGCCTCCGCCGCTGCAGGCAGGGGGGCCCAGCGGTCAGCGCTGGGGCCTGAGGGACTGGCCCCCGGAAGCCTGCGTTTTGTCTGCAGACTTTGTCTGAGGCCAGCGGGGATGCTGGTGCACCGGCCAGGACCGAGCAGGTCAGGCTCTGGACGCAGGCAGAAGGCTGCCCCTTTGCGGGGGAGCGGCGGTGCCCAGGCGGGGGGCCAGGGGTGTCCTGGACGGTCCCTCTGGGACCTGCGGCTGGGAGGCCAGAGGGGCTATTCCCAGCCCAGGGGCACTTGACGTGGGCAGTGCCCTGGCAGGGCCTCTCCTGCCCCCCCGACCCGGGATGGAGGTGCCTCCCCTGGCCACATCCAGCCTCCCGCCACGTCCGCCCAGCGCCCTCGGGTCACCCAGGGAAAGGCCCTTCAGCAGCCGGCGCTGTCTTCCCTGGTCACTCGGCCCGTCAGCCAGCCCCGGCCCTGCCCTGTGCTCTCCAAAGCGAGTAGCCGTGTGGCCTGTTCTGTTGTAATTCAGCAGAAAACGTGATGGCTGATGCGGGCACGGGGCCGACGTGTGAGCCTTTCCGAGCGCTGGGGGCAGACCACGGCTCACGCCACACACACGCCTGCGCCCGCGGGCAGGCCCCGGCCGCACTCCTGACCCCACCCCCACCCCGGTCCTCACTGACCATGCTCTGCGCCCCTGCTACGCGCGGGCCCAGGAAGGAGCTCCGGCCCGGCCCGGGCAGGCGGGGGCCCAGGTGGCACAAGGAAAGAAGGGACACCCTGCATTCCCCGCACAGCCGGACCCTCAGGGGTGGCATCTGGTGACCCTTGCCCTTGGGGGGACCGGATAAAGTGTCCGTGACTCAGACAGGCTCCAGGAGGGCGGGCAGCCCGCGCCTGCTAAGGGGAGCCCCGCCTCTGGCTCTCCGTGGACGTGAGAGTGCGGGGCCCAGGAAGGACAGGGGCGCCCCAGGAGGGGCGTGCGGAGAGGGAGGCCCCTCTGGCCAGGAGACCAGCAGCCGGGGCGGCAGGGAACCTGCTGGGCCCTCTGCTCTCTCGTCCACAAAGGCGCTCGGCAGGTTCTGGAAGGCGCACCCTCCAGCGAGGTTCACACATCAGCTTCCCCTGGTACGACGTCCTTTCGCGAGCCGGCTCCTCGGTCATTTATGTCCTCGACCTGGTGTCACATACACACGCACCCCTGCCCCCCCCCCGGCGGAACAACTTGTGAACACGCTCCGTTGGGGTGAGGTCAACGCAAGCAACAAGAATGCCGCTTATTTAAAAATAGACGGGAAAGCTTTCAGGCTCGAGCCATCTTTGCCAAGACAGCAGTGAGGCACCGGGGAGCAGTGGAAAAATTCAGCCGCACAGAGCGCCCAGCTCCAGCCTGGGCGGGCCGGCGGCCAGCGGGGCCGCCACCAGGCCGGGCGCTGCCCTGTCAGCACTTCTGGCCGCACGCTGACCCCCGGCCCCGGCCCCGTCACTGGACACAGGGAGCAGCCAGCACAGGCTGGTGAGCGAGGTGACGAGACCCTCTCCAACGCCCGCCCGCGCCGGGGTCTCAGGATTCCCGCCCTGCGCCCCTCCCCTCGCGGGCCTGCTCCCTGCCTCTGTGGGCCTCCGGCCTTGTCACTGTCCTGCACGCCGAGCCTCACACAGACAGGGCCCATGCTGGGAGGTCAGCAGATGTCACAGCCGCTGGTGGCAGGAGCCAGACCCCTGGGGGCCCCGCAGTGTGAGCCTCCCCGAGGCCGCGTGGGTCGGACACCTGCCCCTCCCCACCCTGGGGCGCCTGGCTCTGCTCTCTCGGCCCTAACATGGGCCAGGGCGGGGGCACGAGTCGGCACAGCCGCGGGGTCAGGCCGGTCCCCTGGTGACGTGGAGATGCACCGGCTCTGACGGCCTGCGTGCCAGGCCCTTTGGGACGGCCCCGGTCTGCTCTGGGGCCGTGGCAGGCCCTCCAGGTGCCCCCCTACGCTGGAGCTTGCGGGGCCGGGGCGGGGGCGGGGGGGGCGGCCTGAAAAACCTCCGTGTTTCGCCAGCACCACCCCCTCTGCCCAGCGGAAAGGCAGTGCGCTCCTCCCCAGCACCCCAGCCCCCCACGCCTGCCACGGCTGCCGGCAGAAAACAGATGATCCCGGCCGAGGCCTGGAGGGAAGGCTCCGCCAGCCCGGAAAACGGACTTAATTTGGGGAAGCGAGAAAGGACAGGTTCTCCATCACTTGGCCTGGGCCCGAGCCCTGCTGGCCTCGCGCTGTGCGTGGGGCCACAGGATGCCATGCAGGAGGCAGGCCCGGCCCCGCCGCCCGCGCCCGGCAGTTTCTGGTCATCAGGAGGAGGCTGGGTGGCATTTGCCCAGCTCACCGGGGGCAGGAAGTGAGGGAAAGTCGTAACGCGAGACAGCATTGATTTTTTAAGCTCCCAACAAGCATCCCAGCTAATGGCACCCGGGAGCTGCCTGGTGCCGTTGGTTCCGCAGTGACACCCTGCCACCGGGAGGCCTCGGCGCCTGGGACGGGGGGCAGGCCGGGCAGCCGGGGCAGCCTGGACACCCAGGCGGGAGGGAGTCGGCCTGGAGGCTCTGGGGCCGCGAGGGGACCCCCGCCGCGAGGCCCTGTGCACACCCCAGTTCGCGGGGTGCGGGGAAGACTGTGCGTTCTGTCATTTCCAGCCGCACGCCCCCCTCCCCACACCAGTGGGCCACAGGAGACTCGGTGACGATTGTCCCTGTTCTGTGGCAGACACGCCCTGAGCAACCGATGGCCCCACGGCGCGGGGATGCGCGGGTCGGCCGGGGTCTCGGCTTGCCGGGCACCCACGGCCTCGGGGTGCTGTCCACACACGTTCCTCACCACTGACTCTTCGCGGCGGGGTCTGCCCCACCTGCCGCCCACCCCCCGAGGCCCCACGCGGCAGCAGCAAAAACCTGCAGGAGCCTGGAGCAGGCACAGGGGCCTGGCACCACCCACCCCTCCTCAGGAGCGCTGCTCCCTCCCTTGGCGCCGGGAGGCCCCTGCGCATCTTCTGGGGGGGGGGGGCCTTCCCTGAAGCGGACCCCCTGCCGCTCCCTCGGCTCCGGTGTCTCACCGCAGCCTGAGGCTGCCTTATGTATGTGCTTGCCTCCCGCTGGCCGCCCTCCGCACTGGACGGGGAGCTCGCCGAGGAGGGCCGTGCTGACCCCTGCACACGCCCTCCCCCCAGATACACACCCGCGCCCCACGCGTGCGCCCCCAGCCCCGCTCTTCGACGTCCCCCGAAGGAGTGAGCAGCCACCCTGTTCTCAGACGGGCGTCGCTCGGAGCCGCCAGACAGGATGTGCACTCCGTGCCCCCGGGGGCGCGTGCGGCTCGGGGCTGCCGGGGGACTCTGGGAGGAAAGACGTGGGCGACTGCAGCTCCGCGCCGTGGAGACGGGCTCGCTGCCAGCGGCGGGTCCGCCGCCCTGCCGCACGCGCGTTGCCGGCATCTGGACGCTGGCTGCCTGCCCGCCCAGGCTCCCTCGAGCGCCTTGCGGGCTTGGCCAGATGTCCAGTAGCTTGGGACAGAGCTGTCCAGCCTCAGCCAGGGCCCGTGGGCTCTCGGAGTGCCCGCTCCCACACACCCCTGCCCCAGGACAAGGTAGCCACGTGAAGCCAGAACAGGGGACAGGAAGACTGGGCTCTCTGGCCAGCAAACCAGGGCAGGTCAGCCCAGGCTCCGGCAGGAGGGCCGCCCACGGCACGCTGGGGGCAGCGCGGAGCTGGCTGCAGAGCGTGACCGTGGCGCCCTGGGGGCTCTCCCAGCCCTGCGACCTTGAGCAGGTCATGGCACCCTGCAGGGCAGCCAAACGCCCTGGCGGTAAGGACACAGATTGGAGGCTGGGGAGTGGCAGCTGGGTGCCCGGCAACCACAGGTCCCGGCCCAGAAACACCTCCTTCCCTGGTCACCTCTCACTGGCGCTCAGGTTGTCACCGAAGGGGATCGTTTCTCCCTGCCCAGCCTCCGGCCAGGCCCAGACCCCCAGCGCCGCGTCGACCTGACGTGGGGCGGGTGGCGGTCACGGCTCTTCCGGCGCCTCCTCCCTCCCTCCCTGGTCCACCCGCAGCTCCCAGCCAGACAGTCCAGCTGCCTGGACAGCGCCCCGGCTGTGGCTGAGGGACGGGGGCAGCTGCCCAGCGCTGCCTGGTCCAGCCGCCTACGGCGCCTCCCGGGGGCTCGGCCTGGACCCCAGGCTGCCAGCCAGCAGGCAGGCAGAGCCCAGACTCAAGCGCACATTCATACACAGAGCATACACGCATGCTCTCTCTCACATGCACACACAGGGATACAAACCCATGTGCCTATGTGCGTGCGCACCTGTGAACACGCGTGCGCACCCGTGCACACGCT